CCACGTGGCCCGTCACGGGCGAAGGGGTGTGCTTGGACGCACTGCTCAGCGCCACAGTGTTTGTGTTGAAAACAGGGACGGGGAAAGTGTGTTTGTTTAATACAATTGCTTCCCTGCAATCATTTTCCAGTTTATGGAATCAGCCCCTTATTCTGTGTGGAAAGTGATGCCTCTGGCCTTCGCTTTTAAAGAACAAGGAAATGCTCCATATTTTTAATTTTGCATGCGTGCAGCTAGGCTGCAATGCCCAGACGTTGCGTTCGCCCGCGGCCCTTCGGGGCGGCAGCCGCCTCTTCGCGCAGCTCGCACCACGCTCGGCGCCGAGGAGCGGTGGTCTCGCTGGAGCATCCCTATCGCTGTTGCAGTAATAATAATGTTAACGGCCTGGATTAAAACATGCTGAACCCGCAGAGCGTACTGCTGTCCTTCAAGGCAACAGGGACACAGAAGAAACCTTCAGCCGGCGCCGTGCTGGGGAGGTGCTTTTGTGCAGAGGGCTGCAAAGCAGCTGGGACAGAGGAGCCTGGAAACGGGGGAAGCAGAGCAAGGGCGAGCGCAGGGCAGGCGTCCCCCTCGAACTGCCGTCACCCCAAGCGCTGGGGACTGGGTGCTGGCCGAGGCAGCTCGGATCAGGAGCAAAACCCTGTCCCCTGCCAGTTATTTCATTGCGTTTTCCCAGGGAGCAGGACTCTCTGCTTTCCTGGTAGGCAAACAAGGCTGCGTAAAATAATTCACTCTCATTACCTCTGCTCCTTAGAGAAACGAGCTGCAGGGCCCCAAATTTTGGCAGGCTCAGTGGAGCCCAGAGGAGCAACAATCATGTAGGGAGAGACCCTTTTTGGTCCTCCGTGGAGGTGCAAAACGCGCAGGAAGACGCGAAGAACCAGCTCGGAGCGCTTTATTTCTGAGCGGCGAAGCCTGGAGGGAGCTGACTGTGAAACGGGGGTCTTTGGGTGGGCGGCAGTCGTTACGTCCCAGCTACGTACAGCTCCGTGCGCCTGAAGAGCCGTCGCTGCGTTGGCTTGGGAGAGAAGAAAGGAGCCGCGTGTTTTATGGGAAAAGCTCTTAATTTGTTTTCATTTCTTTGCTTTTTGTTTTTTACAGTTTTCTTGGCCCAGCTGAACACTGAAGCGGAAGAGGAACCTGCCTGCCCAACACCCCGCTTCGTGGGACCAAATTTTGAGATCCACCATCCGGCATCACGTATCCTGCCTCCCGGTGCTGCTTCTTCCCGGAGGGTTGCATGCCACGGACAGCACCGCTTCGCGGTGCACCATCTCTGTGTCTGTATGTGCAGGGATCTATGGGGTTACGCATATATACGCACGCCGCCTTGGGGCCAGCTCTGTAGAGGCTTGGCCTTCCCTGGGCCCGTTGCCCAGTCGTGTCTTGGACCGTTTGCATTTGACCTACCTCCCCTTGCTCCTCTGACGGCCTCCTGCTGTCCCCCTCCTTTCTCCCCCATCCTTCCCTCCCCGCTCGGCCGCGTGAAGGCGAGGACGAGCCGAGGGCTTAGCCAGGCTGGGCTGATGTTCAAAGCTGGCCTTAAAAC